CTCTCTGGAATAATGAGGAAGCAGCAGCTATGAAGAGGCAGAAGAGGAGTTAGGAAGGAGAAGAAGAAGAAGAAGAACCTCTCTCTCTCTCTCTCTCTCTCTCTCTCTCTCTCTCTCTCTCTCTCTCTCTCTCTCTCTCTCTCTCTTTCTCCCCCCACAACTAAGTCCCTTACCTTGTTGAAGGCGGCCGTTGGCGGGCGACGGCGTTGTCATGCGCGATGGCGGGCGTTGGTAGGTGCTGGCAGGGTGCATCAAAGAAGCGCGTCGAAGGCCGGCGGACACACAGTGCTGCAAGGCAGGGAAGGGGGGACATCGGGGGCACATCTTCAGCACGGGGGAGGGAACGGGGGCCGGTAGTTCCCGCCCTCTCCAATTTGAAATCGGTGCAATCTGGGCCGTTGATCTTCGAGATCGACGATCCAGATGGGGCCCGATTTCAAATCGGTCAAATCGGGCCTACCGGCCCCGTTTTTTTTTTTCACGGTCCACACGGTCTATGAAGGGGGCAAAAAGGGTCCCAGCGCCGAAAAAAGAAAAAAAAAACTAACCTATAGTGATGCGCTGGGGGCGCCCGGTGGCCAATCGGGCGCGACAACCGGCCAGGCGGCCCGGCACCCCCCCCGGGCGACGGCCAGGCCGCCGGGCGGCCCGGGGACCAGCCTAGTTATTAATAGAGAAAATAATGGAGTGGAAGAATTGACAGTGGTTGTGTAACTTAGAAGACCAGATTAGATTATGGCATTTGAATTAGGGTAGAATAGCTGATATATAGATACTAGATAAGATGTAGAAATTCAATAATTCAGGTATTAAATAATACCTTCCAACATAATTAATAGTGAAATCCAGAGCTTGAGAGTTACAAAGAATCTGGAATATTCAGAAAATTAATTAGGAATTTATTATAGTTATTTAATTAGATTGTTACTTGTGAGAATATTTGTGGTCGATGAGGATGAATTAAAGTAGTAAATTTAGTCAAGAAAAAAGCTGAAACAGGAGAAAAGAAGTAAGGACGATCTTGATGAGAATAGCATTTCAGGGATTGCTAAAGAAACAGATCGTGAGCAAAAAAAGAAACCGCCTTATGTCAGAATACTGAGATGAGGAGTATGTGAGCCTCCCCCCTCCCCTTCTATCTTTATTCTCTCGACCTCCTTGTACCCCGATCTTTGCCCTCAACTTTCCCCCTCCCTTACTCCCTCCCTCCTTTGTACCCTGCCCCTTCTCCCTCAGCACACGCCAGTGCACGACCCAGCAAGCCAGCTTCTAGCCCTACAAGGCAGCTCACAGCGCTGCAAGCCGACATGTAGTACCGTTGGATCAGCACTGCTGCACTGCGAATCCAGCGAGAAGCACTGCAAACCAGCATAGCGAGCCAATAAGCAGCGTAGCGAGCGAGAACAGCGTGCAGGAGAGAGGAAACGGATGGAGAGAAAGGAGGGAAAGGAGGAAAAAGTAGAGATGATAAGATGAAAGGTATGCCGAAGGAGAGTAGAGTTAGAATAGAAATAGAGACACCCCCCAGCCTAAATGTCACACACCTCATACCGATGGTGAAGATGATAATGATGATGATGACACCAATAATAATGGCAAAACTTACCTTTGTATAAAACTGATAATGACGATGATTGATGATGCTGATTGCTGCTGCCGATGATGATGATAAAGATACGTACTAATGTGTCGCTGAAGATGGTGAAGACAATGATGAAGATATTGCCAGTGATGATGATCCTCAGAAGATGAAGCGAACAGGAAGACGATCAGCCGGCCAGTAACCTCGAGTAGAAGCCCTCACTCTTGTAATGAACCCTTGAGTAGATCTTGGACTTCACTCGATGACCACCCACTCATTTCCTCCCAACAATCCTCCTCCCACCCCACGGGACACACTCTACTCCACCACAAATTTGCAAGACAAAGAGTAGAAGTTATCACTCCTGAAGCAAAGCTCAACAAAAGCAATACCCCCCTCCGTACGGCATGCTAGCCTGCAGCATCACTCGTATGGAGTGCGCAATAGAGAGATGGCACACCAGTGCTTTCAAAAGCCAGGGGGAAACAAGTGTAGAGGAACCAGCCCGTTGCCACCTTCCAAAATCCAAGTGATTGCGTCTGTAAATTAGCCTTCTCGCCACGCGCCGGCACCTGCTCCAGAACCAGAAAACCTCAATGCAACGTTAGTATCAACGTGACATGCTCACTCACAGGCTAGCAGCTGACGCGTGAGACCCTGGTAACTCCCTTCCGGCCACCAGCCATGGCAGCAGGCTGTAGAGGATGCCTGTGCCCATTCCACCAACCCTACATGCTCTTCCTGCCAAGTTCTCATGCGCGCCCTCCTGGCCTCGCTCGCCCACTCATTGCGCAGATGCGCCCGCCAGCAGCGGCCACATGCGCCCCCGGACGCACGTATCCACAGCAGCATGAGCAAACGCACGTGCACATCCCCTCCATCGCCCATGTTTCCATTGCTGGAGTAGCGCTAAGGCACACCCAAAGCAGATCGTCAGTTCTAGCCCACGGAAACGGATAAAAAATCATCCAGACAACGCGAGAGAGATAAATGAAAACTTTGAAAAAGGGATCCTAGGGAGGGGAGAAATGGCAAAGAAAAGAAGGAAATACTATCAAGTTTACATGGTGGCCAGCACCCGCAGGGCAGCAGGAGCAACCAGCATCACAGGATGAACCAGCAGCAAAGGACTCAGAGGGAAAGTGGACACTCAGAGGTGCATATGGGAATCCCATGAGAAGAACAAGGGGGAGGTAGGAGAAAGGAA